TAACTAAAACTTAACAATATTTTCCCATTATTCAGCTAGCTGAATTAGAAAAAATCTAACATTATCAAATTTTTTTCATTAATTTTTTAATATTTAAACAAAATTATAACTATTCAGCTAGCTGAATAGCAGTTTTCTATAGCACAACTAAAGGAAAATATTCCAAATGTAACATTTTCAATATTTTCTCTAAATTCAGCTAGCTGAATTAGGTAAAATTTTTAATATTGATATAATTTTAGACTTATTACATATAAATTATACGTTTTTAACCAATTCAGCTAGCTGAATTGTAGTTTTTAGTACTATACTAAAGGTAAAAATTCTCAGTTTTAAAATGTTCCATTATTTCACCTTATTCAGCTAGCTGAATTAGGAAAATAACAAAATTTTAATAACTTAAGTTGAATTTTTATACTAAAATAAGAACCTAAACTATTCAGCTAGCTGAATAGAAGCTTTTTCTAATACAAATAAGAACTATTATTTCAAATTAAACAACTTCAATATTTCAGCCAGCTAATGATCACTTTAAATTAATTGTGTTTCTTCCCTGTGATCTGACAACACAACCCTGTACTACGCATAAAGGTCAAAATATTAAAACTAAAAGCTCAGATTAGAACTAGTTGTTGTTTCAATAACATTTAACAATAATAAGTCTTAATGTAATTTTTTGCGGTATTAATTCAAAGTTATAGGCTAGACTATACATTGGACTATATATTAGAATATACGCTAGACTATATAACAGAGAATAGACTGCACTATGAAATACACTATAGACTAAACTATTAAATATAGACTAGACTATAGACTAGACTATAGACTAGACTATAGACTAGACTATAGACTAGACTATAGACTAGACTATAGACTAGACTATAGACTAGACTATAGACTAGACTATAGACTAGACTATAGACTAGACTATAGACTAGACTATAGACTAGACTATAGACTAGACTGTAGACTAGACTATAGACTAGACTATAGACTAGACTATAGACTAGACTATAGACTAGACTATAGACTAGACTATAGACTAGACTATAGACAAGACTATAGACTAGACTATAGACTAGACTATAGACTAGACTATAGACTAGACTATAGACTAGACTATAGACTAGACTATAGACTAGACTATAGACTAGACTATAGACTAGACTATAGACTAGACTATAGACTAGACTATAGACTAGACTATAGACTAGACTATAGACTAGACTATAGACTAGACTATAGACTAGACTATAGACTAGACTATAGACTAGACTATAGACTAGACTATAGACTAGACTATAGACTAGACTATAGACTAGACTATAGACTAGACTAGACTATAGACTAGACTATAGACTAGACTATAGACTAGAAATCTGTTCTTGAAATCTGTTCCAAACTCTAATTATTTACATTGTTTTCATTTTTCAAACAAATTCACAAATTTCCTTATTAAACTGATGAGAAAATTTTGTAAAACAATGTAAATTAAATTTATTATTTTAATTTATTGCTAAAAATTATTATTAATAATTAAAAACTGTATTAAACTTTGTGTAAAAAAAAGTAGTAAAATTGAATGAGTAATGTTAACAGTAAATTTTCAAAACTTAAACAATTTAAGAACTTTACAAGTCCAGCTTAAAAGAGAGTATTTTTTAAGTCTACGAGTGTTAAAGCCTCTCTTGTGTTTTTCGTTGTTATTATTGTTGACCTATATTTTTATACTTTTATTCTTACAGTTATTTTTGTGTATTTCTTGTTTTGGTAACATGTTCTGGTTTGGTGTCCCCTTTTTTCTTTTTTTCTTTACATTAATGAAAAATTATTTAAAAACTAACTACAACAACAACAATAAGAAACAATTTAACATAAAAAATACTAAATGCGGAAGAATTTAAATAGCAAAAAACTGTTGTATTGTTGTAAATTAACTTGTGTGTGCAGCACACTGTAAGTATTTAGCATAATATGATTATGAGCAACATGCATAGTGTAATCATTCGTGTACGTACTTATGAACACTATTTTCGCCGCTTTTGAAGGCCTTTGTTTCGTTAATGCTTCACAAAGTGTTGGTCAATGTGGGAGGGTGTTGGGCTTTAATGACGCTCAATTTAATTGCAGAATGAAATGGTAATCGCTTTTCTAACGTCAATTCTAGTTCTCTACTTTATATAGAATTTCCATTTATGCTTAACATTGTACAGTGGGGTCAAACTGATCAAGGCTATAGTCTAGTCTATAGTCTAGTCTATAGTCTAGTCTATAGTCTATAGTCTAGTCTATAGTCTAGTCTATAGTCTAGTCTATAGTCTAGTCTATAGTGTAGTCTATAGTCTAGTCTATAGTCTAGTCTATAGTCTATAGTCTAGTCTATAGTCTAGTCTATAGTCTAGTCTATAGTCTAGTCTATAGTCTAGTCTATAGTCTAGTCTATAGTCTAGTCTATAGTCTAGTCTATAGTCTAGTCTATAGTCTAGTCTATAGTCTAGTCTATAGTCTAGTCTATAGTCTAGTCTATAGTCTAGTCTATAGTCTAGTCTATAGTCTAGTCTATAGTCTATAGTCTAGTCTATAGTCTAGTCTATAGTCTAGTCTATAGTCTAGTCTATAGTCTAGTCTATAGTCTAGTCTATAGTCTAGTCTATAGTCTAGTCTATAGTCTAGTCTAGTAGTCTATAGTCTAGTCCTTAGGCTAGTCTATAGTCTAGTCCTATAGCTAGTCTATCGTCTAGTCTATAGTCTAGTCCTATAGTCTAGTCTATAGTCTAGTCTATAGTCCTAGTCTATAGTCTAGTCTCTAGTCTAGTCTATAGTCTAGTCTATAGTCTAGTCTATAGTCCTAGTCTATAGTCTCGTCTATAGTCTAGTCTATAGTCTAGTCTATAGTCTAGTCTATAGTCTAGTCTTAGTCTAGTCTATAGTCTAGTCTATAGTCTAGTCTATAGTCCTAGTCTATAGTCTAGTCTATAGTCTAGTCGATAGTCTAGTCCCTATAGTCTAGCTCTATAGTCCTAGTCCTATAGTCATAGTCTAGTCCTATAGTCTAGTCTAGTCCTAGTCTATAGTCTAGTCTATAGTCCTAGTCTATAGTCTAGGTCTAGCTAGTATCTAGGCTATAGTCCTAGTCTAAATCTATGTCTAGCCATAGCCTAGTCTAGTCTATAGTCCTAGTCTATAGTCTAGGCCTATAGTCTATCTATAGTCTAGTCTAAGTCTAGTCTAGTCTAGTCTATAGTCTAGTCTATAGTCTAGTCTATAGTCTAGTCTATAGTCTAGTCTATAGTCTAGTCTATAGTCTAGTCTATAGTCTAGTCTATAGTCTAGTCTATAGTCTAGTCTATAGTCTAGTCTATAGTCTAGTCTATAGTCTAGTCTATAGTCTAGTCTATAGTCTAGTCTATAGTCTAGTCTATAGTCTAGTCTATAGTCTAGTCTATAGTCTAGTCTATAGTCTAGTCTATAGTCTAGTCTATAGTCTAGTCTATAGTCTAGTCTATAGTCTAGTCTATAGTCTAGTCTATAGTCTAGTCTATAGTCTAGTCTATAGTCTAGTCTATAGTCTAGTCTATAGTCTAGTCTATAGTCTAGTCTATAGTCTAGTCTATAGTCTAGTCTATAGTCTAGTCTATAGTCTAGTCTATAGTCTAGTCTATAGTCTAGTCTATAGTCTAGTCTATAGTCTAGTCTATAGTCTAGTCTATAGTCTAGGCTATAGTTTAGTCTATAGCCTGATCTATAGCCTGATCTATAGTCTAGTCTATTGTCTAGTATATAGTATAGTCTAAAGTCTAGTTCATATTCTGCACTGCTCAACAATCAATTTTGTAGTCTGGACTATAGTCCTGTCTCTACTCTGGGGTATAGTCTTTTGTCTCCACTATAGTATAGTCTGTAGTTTGGACTATGACAAGTATGTAGTCCAGATCGTATAGCAGGTTTCATACTCTTAATTATGGTCTAGTCTATAATCTTTACTATAGTATTGTCTATTTAGAATTCAACATGAAAATTGCTTATATATCACTTGTAACGTTTTAATTTAAAAAAAATTAATAAATTTTATAAATTCTTGAATATTTTATAGAACGACTTTCCAGTCAAATTTAAATGTTTTCTTTACAAAATTCCTGTATAATTACTTATACCAAGTGGTAGATAGTACAACATGTAGTTTAGGTTACAAATCAATAATTAATTAATATAGAAATTAATTAATTAATATAGAGAATGCAAATACCTTATTGATAAGCTATATATTAATGCTTTAAACTTTTAAACTATTAACAACCGATTGTTTACATATATAAAATATTTATCTCTATGCAAAAAATATGTTAAATAAAAATTACAATATTTAGTAGAGTCACAGTTTATAAACAATACCAAAGTTTATAAAAAATAATTTCAAAAAAGCACTCAATAGACAACACTGTTGGCTTACCGTTATCTTTTAAAAAGTGCTGCCAAGTTGTTAGAGCAAAGAAATTGCCAATATATTCTCTGTTGTATGTGAGAGAGATGTTTAATGAGAAAGAAAGTGTTGCCAATTACATAAATAGTTATAGCAAGGAAGCGTTTAATGGGGGAAGAAGGACAAAGAAGCGATTAATGGGGAATGAGGACAGTTTCTTCAAGAAACTTTATTACTATATATCAAACTGTGATTTGACAGGCTAAAACTGTAGATTTGTGTTTAGTTTTTCCCTCTCTGCTGCATAGCATTTTGTGTGAGAGCATTTAAAATCTCGCTACAACTTTCGTTGAGTGATCGTTTAATCTCGCTAGCTGACTTACTGGGAGTACAAACAATCAACATACTTAAACTATCACTTACTCGTAAACATACCGGTTGTTTTACATACAAATATGCTGGAAGTTAACTATTTATTCTATCTCTATCTCTGACTCTGATCATACACATTACACGACGAGATCATCTATCAACTCTATCTTTATATTATTGTTTGTGTTTTCTCTATGTGATATACAATTTATAAATATATATTCTTACGCTAAAGCTATAGATGATTTCAGTTGTTTATCATAGTACAACGTGTTAATAAGTCTGACATTTTTTTTAAGTTAAATTCTTAATTGAAAAGATCAGTCAGACATTTATTGTGATTTTTTTTATTTTTTCGAAAGTACGTAAAATGTGTGTTTTTAGTTTTTTTTTTTCTAAATATAAAGAAAAAAATATTAAATAATTAAATTAAATAATATTTAAATTGTAATATTAGTGCCTCAAATATGTGGGTGTAAAGAAGAATTTGTGCAAAAGTTGTTTTTTAAAAAATAAATTTAAATACTAATTAATGAATTTAAGGATTTAAGTGGCTGGAAATAATTAGCAAAAATTAAAAATAAAAACAATAATTAAAGAAATTGTTTAAAAAATAAAAAAATAATAACTATAAAAAAGAATAATGAACAAATTTGTATAAAACTTTATAAAAACTTATAAAAAAAATAATTTTTTAAATGAAAATTTAAAAAAAAACAATATTTCTAAATTAATTTTTTTAAAAAATATATATAAAAATTTTTAAAATTTTAAAAAAGAACAAAAATATTTTTTCTACAAATTTATAAAACATATCAACATTTTGGAAAAATTAGAAAAAAATTTTAGCAAAAATTAAACAAAATTATAAAAAAACTCCTAAACAATTTAAATATTAAATAAAAAAGATTTTTTCGGAAAATAAAAATTATTTTTTTTTAATTATAAAAAAAATGATTTCTGTCCGAATTTATAAAAAAATCATAAAAAATTAAAATTTTAAGTGAAATGAAGCATTTTTAAAAGTTTTACAGAAAGAACATTTTTTTAAGAAATAAGTGAAAAATTACTGTTTATAAAAAGAAATATTTAAGATTTCCTAAAAAATATTTAAAAATTGTTTCTATAGTATAGACAGACTATAGTCTAAACTGTAGTCCAGTCTATAGTCCAAAGACTAGTCTACTCCATAGTTTAAACTTTAGTCTAGTCTGTAGTCCAGTCTAATCTATAGTCTAGAATGTAGTCTAGTCTATAGTTTAGACTGTATAGTTTACAATGTAGTCTAGTCCATAGTCTAGAATGTAGTCTAGTCTATAGTCTAGGCTGTAGTCTAGTCTATAGTCTAGGCTGTAGTCTAGTCTATAGTCTAGGCTGTAGTCTAGTCTATAGTCTAGGCTGTAGTCTAGTCTATAGTCTAGGCTGTAGTCTAGTCTATATTTTAGGCTGTAGTCTAGTAGTAGACCGTAGTCTAGTCTAGGCTGTAGTCTAGTCTATAGTCTAGGCTGTAGTCTAGTCTATAGTCTAGGCTGTAGTCTAGTCTATATTTTAGGCTGTAGTCTAGTAGTAGACGGTAGTCTAGTCTATAGCCCAGACTGTAGTCTAGTCTATATTCCAGTCTATAGTCTAGACTTTAACCTAGGCTATAATCTAGTCTAGACATAACACTGTCTAGACTGTAGTCTAGTCTATAGTCCAGACTGTAGTCTAGTTTATAGTCTATAGTCTAGACTGTAGTTAATAGTCTAAAGTGTAGTCTAGTCTAAAGTCTAGACTAGTCCAGTCTATAGTCTAGACTGTAGTCCAGTCTGTAGGCTACATTATAGTCCAGTCTATAGTCTAGATTGTAGTCCAGTCTATAGTCTAGATTGTAGTCCAGTCTATAGTCTAGACTGTAGTCCAGTTAATAGTCTAGACTGTAGTCCAGTCTATAGTCTAGACTGTAGTCCAGTCTATAGGCTAGACTATTGTCCAGTCTATAGGCTAGACTGTAGTCTAGTCTATAGTTTAGACTGTAGTCTAGTCTATAGTTTAGACTGTAGTCTAGTCTATAGTTTAGACTGTAGTACAGTCTATAGTCTAGACTGTAGTACAGTCTATAGTCTAGACTGTAATCAAGTCTATAGTCTAGACTGTAGTCCAGTCGATAGTCTAGACTGTAATCCAGTCTACAATCTAGAGTGTAGTCTACAGTCTAGACTGTAGTTCAGTCTATAGTCTAGACTGTATTCCAGTCTATAGTCTAGACTGTAGTCCGGTCTATAGCTTAGACTGTAGTCAAGTCTATAGACTAGATTGTATTCTATTCTTCAGTCTAGACTGTAGCTTTGTTTATAGTCTAGAATGTAGTCCGGTGTAGTCTAGTTTATAGTATAGACTGTAGTTTAGTCTATAGTCTAGACTGTAGTTTAGTCTATAGTCTAGACTGTAGTTTAGTCTATAGTCTAGAACGTAGTTTAGTCTATAGTCTAGACTGTTGTCCCGTCTGTAGCCTAGTCTGTAGTCTAGTCTATGGTCTAGACTGTAGTCTAGTCTAGTGTAGACATAGCTCATTTTAGACAGTTGTCTATAGTCTAGACTGTTGTCTATAGTCTACACCGCAGTCTAGTCTATATCTAGACTGTCTAGAATGTAGTCTGGTCTGTAATCTAGATTGTATTCTATTGAGTAGCCTGGACTGTAGTTTAGTCTATAGTCTAGATTGTAGACCAGTCTATAGTCTAGACTGTAGTCTAGTCTATAGTATAGATTATATTCTATAATGTAGTCTAGACTGTAGCTTAATCTATAGCATACCATAATGCAGTCTAAAATCAGGAATCTATAACAGTATATAGTCAAGACTACAGTAAAGTCTAAAGTCTAGTTTAAAGTCCAGGCTAAAAGTCTAAACTACAAATCATTCTGTAGTCTACTATAGCACAGAGTTTAATCCATATTATATCCCATTTTAGAGTCCATTCCATATCCCATTTAATGCTTCAGACTATAGGTCAGTTTACAGTTCAGATTATAGTCTAAAGTCAAGATTATAGTCCAAATTAAATTCAAGACTTTAATCCAGACAATAGTCCAGTCTTTAGTCCAGCATAAGATTTTAGTACAGATCCTATAGCCAAGCTAAAGTGAAGAATATATTCCAGTTTAAAGTCCAGGTTATAGTACTGCCTCTAGTATATAGTGCATTGATTGTATAGATTATATCAAATTCTATAGTGAAGACTATAGCCCAATCTATAGTACAGACTATAATCCAAACTAAAGTCTAGACTATAGTCCAAACTATATACCTTACTATATCCCAGTCAATAGTCCAGTCTGTAGTCAAGACTATAGATCAAATTATGGTCTGAACTACAGTCTAAAGGTCAGTCTATAGTCTAGTCTGTAACACAGTCGATAGTCTAGTCTCTAGCTCAGTCTATATTTCAGTCTTTAGCTCAGTCTATAGCTCAGTCTATAGTCTAGCCTTTAGTACAGTCTAATGCCCAGACTAATCCATTCTGTTAATCCTTAAACTCGGATATGTCTTCCAAAATTACTAATACTGTTTTATTGAACAACTTTACAACACTAGTTTTTACCAAAAAAGCGAAAGAGATACAGAGAGGGAGAGAGCATGAGAATTGCCAAATAACAGTGATGCCAAATAGTTTTTTAAAACCATTAAAAAACGTATAAAAACACATTTTGTGTTTGGAAATTAAAAAAAAACAATTTAAATTTAGGAATGATTCCTTAAAAACTACTTAATTTAGTAAGATTTAGGAAAATTATGAAAAATTTATTAATAATTATTATAAATATTTCATAATTATGTCTGTTAAAACAATTAAAAATATCTAGATTAATTTATAAATATTACTATTTTTTAAAAAAATAAATTTTAAAGTGTTTAGTTAGTAAGTAAAGTGTAAATAGCTCTATAAACTTAGACATGTTTAGTTTATTATAATTAGTAATTTGGGTAAAAAACCGTACATTTTTAAATCTCTGACTATTTACAAAATTCTTGACAAGTGTTTTGTTTTTTGTTTTCATACAAAATGCGCATTAAATTTGAAAAAAAAGAAGAAAACAATATATTTAAACAGATTTTCAAACAAAACATAGATGAAAACAATAATTGGCAATAACAATTTATCAAAAATTTTCATTACTAACCGTCCATGATTTGTCTGTCTGTCTGGGCTGTCTATTTAATTTTGCAAAAATATAAATTTTGTATTAAAAAACTAATACCCGCATTGTCTATGGATAGACAGACAGTATGACTGTCTTAACAAGTGTCATTATTATCATTAACACTCACTCTCTGGTCTCATTAATAAAATGTCTAAATGACATTTATTTCAATTTGTATTGTCTGCTGGTTGCACTCGGTTTCCTTTTTTTAAAAAAGATTTATGTATTACAAATTTTTAAAAACTACTGTATTTCCGTTTTTGTTTTAGTTCAGATTTATGTAAGTTTTTTTTAAATAAAAAACTGTCAATATTACAGAAGAGTAAAAATAGAGACAGCTAGACAGGAAAAGAGAATCTTACATGGTTTTAAAAAACCTACTTGTCAATATTGCTGTGAGAGAGATTTTGTTCGGTTGCCAAAAAATTTTTTTATTATATTTATGTAAAAATCCATAAAAATTTTTGTTGTCTATTTATAAACATTTAATATATGGTTTTGTAAATATTAGGTTTATATGCAAAAAGGAGAAAGTTTTTTTTTCTTTAATTTAATTTAGTAATATTTAAAATGCAACCATGCATAAATATGGTATTTAGTATTGTAATTGTAATATGCTAAATTTAATTGCAATAATAATTTGTAATCAAAATTTAATTTATTCATTTATTTAATAAGCAATTGTCTGACATTTTGTAACTCTTTTGAAGAAAACCAAACCAGACTTTTGACTAGCAAATGGACAAGATTATACACAAGCTTGTAGTCCCGAATATATTTAGTTCAGATTAGTCTATAGTTCAGGTTACAGACCAGCCTATAGCCTAGACACTAGACGAGCTTTTAGATCATACTATAGACACGTGTAGACTATATGATAAACTGTAGAATATAGACTATGGGCTAGAATATAGGCTACACTACAGTCCAGATTATAGACTAGAATATAAACCAGACTAAGGAGTAGACTAAAGACTAGACAATAGGCCATACTATAGACTAGGCTATTGTCCAGACTATAAACTATTCAATAAACCAGACTATAAACTATACTACAGACTAGGGAGTAGACTACAGACTAGACTATAGGACAGACTATGGACTAGAATATAGTCGAGACTATAGACTGTAAGCCAGACTATAGAGTTTACTATAGTCCGGCCTATAGACCAGACTACAGACTATGGAGTAGACAGCACACTGGACTATAGACCAGCCAATGGACTAGAATAATGTCAATACTATATACTATAAAACAAACTATAGACTAGACTATAGACTAGACTATAGACTAGACCATAGACTAGACTATAGACTAGACTATAGACTAGACTATAGACTATACTATAGACTAGACTATAGACTAGACTATAGACTAGACTATAGACTAGACTATAGACTAGACTATAGACTAGACTATAGACTAGACTATAGACTAGACTATAGACTAGACTATAGACTAGACTATAGACTAGACTATAGACTAGACTATAGACTAGACTATAGACTAGACTATAGACTAGACTATAGACTAGACTATAGACTAGACTATAGACTAGACTATAGACTAGACTATAGACTAGACTATAGACTAGACTATAGACTAGACTATAGACTAGACTATAGACTAGACTATAGACTAGACTATAGACTAGACTATAGACTAGACTATAGACTAGACTATAGACTAGACTATAGACTAGACTATAGACTAGACTATAGACTAGACTATAGACTAGACTATAGACTAGACTATAGACTAGACTATAGACTAGACTATAGACTAGACTATAGACTAGACTATAGACTAGACTATAGACTAGACTATAGACTAGACTATAGACTAGACCTATAGACTAGACTATAGACTAGACTATAGACTAGACTATAGACTAGACTATAGACTAGACTATAGACTAGACTATAGACTAGACTATAGACTAGACTATAGACTAGACTATAGACTAGACTATAGACTAGACTATAGACTAGACTATAGACTAGACTATAGACTAGACTATAGACTAGACTATAGACTAGACTATAGACTAGACTATAGACTAGACTATAGACTAGACTATAGACTAGACTATAGACTAGACTATAGACTAGACTATAGACTAGACTATAGACTAGACTATAGACTAGACTATAACTAGACTATAGACTAGACTATAGACTAGACTATAGACTAGACTAGACTAGACTATAGACTAGACTATAGACTAGACTATAGACTAGACTATAGACTAGACTATAGACTAGACTATAGACTAGACTATAGACTAGACTATAGACTAGACTATAGACTAGACTATAGACTAGACTAGACTAGACTAGACTATAGACTAGACTATAGACTAGACTATAGACTAGACTATAGACTAGACTATAGACTAGACTATAGACTAGACTATAGACTAGACTATAGACTAGACTAGACTATAGACTAGACTATAGACTAGACTATAGACTTGACTGTAGACTAGACTATAGACTAGACTACAGACTAGACTATAGACTAGACTACAGACTAGACTATAGACTAGACTATAGACTAGACTAGACTATAGACTAGACTATAGACTAGACTATAGACTAGACTATAGACTAGACTATAGACTAGACTATAGACTAGTCTATAGACAAGACTATAGACTAGACTATAGACTAACTATAGACTAGACTATAGACTAGACTATAGACTAGACTATAGACTAGACTATAGACTAGACTATAGACTAGACTATAGACTAGACTATAGACTAGACTATAGACTAGACTATAGACTAGACTATAGACTAGACTATAGACTATGACTATAGACTAGACTATAGACTAGACTATGACTAGACTTAGGCTATAGACTAGACTATAGACTAGACTATAGACTAGACTATAGACTAGACTATAGACTAGACTATAGACTAGGACTATAGACTAGACTATAGACTAGACTATAGACTAGACTATAGACTAGACTATAGACTAGACTATAGACTAGACTATAGACTCGACTATAGACTAGACTATAGGACTAGACTATAGACTAGACTATAGACTAGACTATAGACTAGACTATAGACTAGACTATAGACTAGACTATAGACTAGACTATAGACTAGGACTATAGACTAGACTATAGACTAGACTATAGACTAGACTATAGACTAGACTATAGACTAGACTATAGACTAGACTATAGACTAGACTATAGACTAGACTATAGACTAGACTATAGACTAGACTATAGACTAGACTATAGACTAGACTTATAGACTAGACTATAGACTAGACTATAGACTAGGACTATTAGACTAGACTATAGACTAGACTATAGACTAGACTATAGACTAGACTATAGACTAGACTATAGACTAGACTATAGACTAGACTATAGACTAGACTATAGACTAGACTATAGACTAGACTATAGACTAGACTATAGACTAGACTATAGACTAGACTATAGACTAGACTATAGACTAGACTATAGACTAGACTATAGACTAGACTATAGACTAGACTATAGACTAGACTATAGACTAGACTATAGACTAGACTATAGACTAGACTATAGACTAGACTATAGACTAGACTATAGACTAGACTATAGACTAGACTATAGACTAGACTATAGACTAGACTATAGACTAGACTATAGACTAGACTATAGACTAGACTATAGACTAGACTATAGACTAGACTATAGACTAGACTATAGACTAGACTATAGACTATACTATAGACTATACTATAGACTAGACCATAGACTAGACTATAGATTACACTATATACTAGACTATTGACTAGACTAAAAACTAGACTATATACTATACTATAGGCTATACTATAAGTTAGACTATAGACTAGACTATAGGCTAGACTATAGACTAGACTATAGATTCGACTACAGACTAGACTACAGACTAGACTATAGACTAGACTGTAGACTAGACTAAAAACAAGACCATATATATATTAGTCTAGTCAGTCTATAGTGTAGTCAGTTTATAGTCTAGTCAATAGTTAGTCAGTCTATAGTCTAGTCTATAGTCTACTCTATAGTCTAGTCTATAGTCAAAGACCTAACTGGTGAGAATGTATTAGTGGAAACACAAAAATAGAATAGGCTGGAATAGAGTATAGTCGAGATTCAAGACTATAGGCCACATTATAGACTAAACTATAGTATGGGCTATAGACCAGATTAAAGTCCAGACTATAGATTAGACTGTATACTAGACTATAGACTAAACTTTAGACCAGACTATTGATTTGATTATAGTTCAAACTACAGACTAGAATGGAGTACAGGCTATAGGCAAGACTGTAGTCCAACCATACCATAAATATGTATATTAGACTAGGCAGAATATTGATTATATTAAAGTTCAGACTATAGACTAGACAAAAGACCAAACTATAAACCAGACCATAGCCCTTATTATAAACTTGGTCGTGGACTATTGTGTTATATGGTTATCTTATTACTATCCTATAAATTTCTTAAGAAAAGTGAAAATTTCGTTCTCGATTTGTTGCCTTATGATTGCAACACTGTTGATTTTGACTCAACAGTGTTGCAAAGTTCAACAATAAACAAGTGTGGCTAACGTTTAGAAACAGTTAAAAGCTCCAAAAACTAATATTTTAAAATTTTTAACAATTATTTAGAAATTTAAAAATAAAATAATTTTACTAATTATACTTTTCTTATTCTCTTTTTAGATATAAAAGCTGGCCAACTTAATACCATATAGAAGAAATCGTTTTTAAAATTTTAAATAATTAAACAAACATGGATATAAGCTCAAAACCAAAAAGAAAATTTTTTAGCAGTTGATAGAGTGTTTTTTGCAAAACGAAAAATCCCCAAAATAAAGTCTACAATAAAATACAAAAACACTAACTACTTTATTAATTAAAAATAATTAAATAAAAATAAATTTTTATATAAAATTAATTAAACAAAAAAATAGTGAAAAATTAAAGGAAAAGATAGAAAACAAAATCAACCGCTTCCAATAACTTCCAAAGCTTTTATAGTAAAACAAACAAAAAAAAGAATAATTTTTTTAAAATAACTATGCGCACATTACAAATCTTTATTTCTGTTGTAAATTAAAACTGCTTTCTTCCTAAATTATAAATAATTAAATAGTAAAAAATACTACTTTGCTTAACGAAACAATAAATAATTTTACGAATATAAAGAAAAAAAAAACTAAACCCCATGACAACTCTAAAAACGAAAGTAATTTAAAGAAAACACAAATTAACAAAAAAAAAAAGAAAATTTTTTATAATTTCTGCTAAAAAGAAAGTGTTAATTTTTTTCAAATAAATATTTGCAACGTTCTAAATATAAAAAACAAAAATTAATAAATTAGCGTTAATTTTATCTAATAAAAATAACAACAACATTAAAAAAGTTTAAAATTAGAAATCATTACTGCAACTAGTCCTTCAATATTGTACACGCTTCCATTATGTCGGAACCTATAAACAATATAACTCTAACGACGTCGTTACCCAACGGCTCGTTATCATCATCATCATCAGCTTCAGCCTCAACATCAGCAGCAGCGGCCGCCACATCATCAGCCACCAGCTTAACGTCGGCCCACGCCACTAACTCCTCCTCATCCACCAACAATTGTGGCTCTACGCCCATGCTTAACGGACACATTGGCACGCACTATACGCATTCGAAACATAATTTTGAACGTTATACCAGCCACACCAATGACTACGTTTCCATACCACAATTCTATGCGGGACGCAGTGTATTCATTACCGGTGGCACTGGTTTTATGGGAAAGGTGAGTTTTTGAAATTTTCATTGAAAAACTATAATTTAGACTTTAGATTTAGATTAAAATATTGCTAGACTATTATTCCGGAAGGAGTCCGAACTATAGATCAGTATAGATTATACACTAGACTTTACACAAAAATATATAGTAGACTAGTCAATGGGCTAGTCAATAGGCTACACAATAACTTGACTAGTCAATGGGCTAGTCAATAGACTACATATAGACTAGACTATAGGCTAGACTATAGACTAGACTATAGACTAGACTATAGACGAGACTATAAACTAGACTCTAGACTAGACTATAGACTAGACTATAGACTAGACTCTAGACTAGACTATAGACTAGACTCTATACCAGGCCATAGACCAGACTATTCCAGAGTAGACTAAAGATTAAACCATAGATTAAAAATAGACTAGACTAAAGACTAGACTAGACTATAGACTAGACTCTAGACTAGACTATAGACTAGACTCTAGACTATACTATAGACTAGACTATAGACTAGACAATAGACTAGACTATAGACTAGGCTATAGACTAGACTATAGACTAGACTATAGACTAGACTATAGACTAGACTATAGACTAGACTATAGACTAGACTATAGACTAGACTATAGACTAGACTATAGACTAGACTATAGACTAGACTATAGACTAGACTATAGACTAGACTATAGACTAGACTATAGACTAGACTATAGACTAGACTATAGACTAGACTATAGACTAGACTATAGACTAGACTATAGACTAGACTATAGACTAGACTATAGACTAGACTATAGACTAGACTATAGACTAGACTATAGACTAGACTATAGACTAGACTATAGACTAGACTATAGACTAGACTATAGACTAGACTATAGACTAGACTATAGACTAGACTATAGACTAGACTATAGACTAGACTATAGACTAGACTATAGACTAGACTATAGACTAGACTATAGACTAGACTATAGACTAGAGTATAGACTAGACTATAGACTAGGCTATAGACTAGACTATAGACTAGACTATAGACTAGACCATAGACTAGACCATAGACTAGACTATAGACTAGACTATAGACTAGACTATAGACTAGACTATAGACTAGACTATAGACTAGACTATAGACTAGACTATAGACTAGCCTATAGACTAAACTATAGACTAGACCATAGACTAGATCATCGACTTGGCTCTTGAGTTGACTATAGATTAAACTAAAGACTTGACTATGTACTAGACTGCAGACTAGATTATAGACCTTACTTTACACTAGTCTGCTATGTTGCCTACTCTATAATCTGTAATATAGTCTATACTTTAAAGCATAATTAGAACTATGGTTTAGAGCCTAGACTATATGCTATATCCTTCTAGATGTCGATTTTTTCAGCTGTATTTAGTTTAAAGTCCATTTTTAAATATAAACTAAACAATTTGCTCTAAAATAAATAACAAACAGTCTTTCTTTTTTAAAAAACACAAAAAAATCTCAACAATAGAGAGTTTAATTTTAGAACCAACATGTTTACAGTTATTTTTAATACCTGACGTGTACTCTCTTTATATTTTTATTTATATTTTTTATTATTTAGTTTTATTTTAGTTTTAATAAAAGCTTAAAAATAAACAATTTTCTTGCACTTACACAAAAGAATTTAGATTAAAAAAAAACCGAAGAAAACAGTAAAAAGAAACGTAATATTAAGAAAAGAATATGAAAATTAATTCATAATTCTTTTGTATTTTAACTATTATAGAAAGAGATGTAGACATGGAATACACAAACACACATGCATACATACATATGAATGTCAGTAACCGAACCACCCACAACTACAATCTTTCAACCATTCCCTCTCTTTTTCACTGACTTTATTTATGCACTCATTTATTAATGAATACATTCACTCACTCATTAATTTGTTCGCTCCAGTGATTATTGTTGAGTTGTTGTTGATGATGAGGGAGAACAATATAATTGTTATCTTACCCAGAGTAGCATGTGATGGTTGTAGTTGTAAGGAGTAGTTCGAAAATTTGTTGTTCTAGTTTTATTTAGGTATTTTTATGAGTTGTAGTAATAAAATTTATATTTTTTCTATAAATAACTACTACTAGAAGACTTTTGCCCTAACACCCACTTGCCAAGACCATAGAGTAGACTATAGACTGTGAATTATACTACAGGTAAGACTACACACTCGACTCCAAACTAAAATATCTACTAGATTTTAGATTACTCTACAGAGTAGACTACAGACAAGTCTATAGACTAGACTACAGATTAGAAAATAAACTAAACTATAGGCAGACTGCACTATAGACTTGATTATAGATTAAATTGTAGACGATAGACTAGAATGTAGACTACCGTCTAGACTGTAGACTGCAGACTAGACTGTAGCCCATAGACTAGACTATAGGCTAGAGTATAAACTCGACTATAATCTAAACTATATACTAGACTATGGATTAGACTATAGACTAAGCTATAGATTAGAATGGAGACTAGACTATAGAATAGACTGTAGTCTGTAGTCTAGTCTATAGTCTAGACTATAAACTAGACTATAGACTAGACTATAGACTAGACTATAGACTAGACTGTAGACTAGACTATAGACTAGTCTGTAGACTAGACTATAGACTAGACTATAAACTAGACTATAGACTAGACTATAGACTAGACTATAGACTAGACTATAGACTAGACTATAGACTAGACTATAGACTAGACTATAGACTAGACTATAGACTAGACTATAGACTAGACTATAGACTAGACTATAGACCAGACTGTAGACTAGACTATAGACTAGACTATAGACTAGACTATAGACTAGACTATAGACCAGACTGTAGACTAGACTATAGACTAGACTATAGACTAGACTATAGACTAGACTATAGACTAGACTATAGACTAGACTATAGACTAGACTATAGACTAGACTATAGACTAGACTATAGACTAGACTATAGACTAGACTATAGACTAGACTATAGACTAGACTATAGACTAGACTATAGACTAGACTATAGTCTAGACTATAGACTAGATTATAGACTAGACTATAGACTAGACTATAGACTAGACTATAGACTAGACTATAGACTAGACTATAGACTAGACTATAGACTAGACTATAGACTAGACTATAGACTAGACTATAGACTAGACTATAGACTAGACTATAGACTAGACTATAGACTAGACTATAGACTAGACTATAGACTAGACTATAGACTAGACTATAGACTAGACTATGGACTAGACTATAGACTAGACTATAGACTAGACTATAGACTAGACTATAGACTAGACTATAGACTAGACTATAGACTAGACTATAGACTAGACTATAGACTAGACTATAGACTAGACTATAGACTAGACTATAGACTAGACTATAGACTAGTCTGTAGTCTAGTCTATAGTCTAAACTATAGTCTATTCTAGAGTCTTGTCTAGTTTATAGTCTACTGTGTATTCTAATCTAGTCCAGTCTAGTCTATAGTCTAGTCTATAGTCTAGTCTATAGTCTAGTCTATAGTCTAGTCTATAGTCTAGTCTATAGTCTAGTCTATAGTCTAGTCTATAGTCTAGTCTATAGTCTAGTCTATAGTCTAGTCTATAGTCTAGTCTATAGTCTAGTCTATATAAACAATGCAACAAACTAGACTATAAGCTAGACTATGGACTTGCCTATAGTTTTTGTCGATACGCTGGAAACTAAAAATAGTTTTAGTACAGACTTTAATCCATATATCAAACTATATTTTCTACCTTTGTAAAATATTTTCTCTTCTAGTTTTCTTTACCCAATAGTTACAGCACGTCTATTGTTATAAATTTGAAAAATTTATGCCACCACAACAACAACTAGAGGAACAATAAAATGAAATTATTAGTTTTTTTTTGTGTAAAAACTACAAAAATGAAATAATAGTTATAGTAATAATAATCATAATAAAAGCTGTAAAAATGCCATTTTGCTGGTATTTTTATATTTTCTTTTTTTGCGTCTCCCCCTTGTCCCCCTTTTCATCTCACCAGTAGACTTAAATTGTGACATATTTTTTTGTATGAAACTATTATTATGTATTTGGAACTAAAGGAGATCGCTGTACCAAAGAGAGGGGGAATTGTCAAAAAAGAACATGAAATATTCAATGACGCACAATGGGGTTTAGTAAATAGCTTTTGATCTGTTTATTGTTCTTTTTAGAAAACGCATTGAATTTTTAAAATATTGTTGTTGCTTTTTATTACTCTCTCGTTCGTTCCCTTTCTCCGTACAAAACAAATATTGTTAACAATTAGTTGTTACTACATCTTTAAGCTGCATTTAAAAAATATAATTTTTTTAACAAAATTTGTTTTTCTTTAACATTTCCTTTTACAACATCTTTTAAAACTAAAAACAAAATAAATAAAATTTTTATTTACTATAGACACAATACTTGTAATTGTCTAAATACATCAACTTGACAAGTGCACATGCATGCATCTACATCTATTTATTTGTTTGTAAAAGTGCAAAAAAAGAAACATACATGCACTTGCTTTTACTTGTTCACCATCTGTTTCCATCTTACTGTCTCTTTCTAAATAGCTAAACGTGTATGCATTATCTCTAGAGTGTTTATCACTCATTCTTTCTTCTTCTTATTAATACTCTTATGGGGTTTTTTGTTGTATGTAAACAAATAACAGCACTAACAGACTAATGTTATTTATATGAATAAATCCACTGGTCACAAGCCCAAAAAGACTAAGTCGAGAATTGTAATTTTCAGCAAATTCACTTGATTTTATAGTTTAGATTGCAGTTATGTATATAGTCCATACTAAAGGTCAGTCTATAGTTGTTTAGCCTGTAGTCTGGACTGTAGTCTTGTATAAAAGCTTGTCAATAATCTAAGTATTAGTTTATAGTCTGTACAATAGTCTATGTTATAGTCTGGACTATAGCCGCGTTTAAAGTCTGGACTAT